GGGGTGTGAGCCTGGACGGTAACTTCTCATTTCTTTACATCTCAGTGGAACAGGAAGCAGAAACTGGACAGGAACTAGGGTGAGGCTATAAACCTGAGGTCCGCCCTCCTCCCCACTGACCCACTTCCTCCAGTGAGGCTCTGTCTCCTAAAGGTTCCACAGCCTCATGAGACAGAGTTGCCCAGCTGGGGACCAGATGTTCAAGCAAATGAACGTACGGTGGCCACTTCACACTCAAACCATAACGCCATGTTGTCCCATTCAGCACCCAAGGGGACTTAGTCCTGGGACTTTTGTTGAAACTGTTGGGAAAAAGAGATGTTCACTTTCGGCTGGAGCTGCTGAGAGCGTGGGAGATAGGTCCAGCACTCTGGCAGCCACCTTGCCACCATGAGGAAAGAGAACTTAGATGTGAAGGTAGCACAGGAAAAAGCAGATGGAATGTTGACAAAGCAATACAAAGTCCCGTGGCTTCCCTGGGTCTCACCAATCCTTCCAGACAAACTTATCTCTGTTTCTCAGGACAAGTTCCCTTCCTGCTGCCCCCCAGATCAGTATGCGTTAGGCTCTCAGACTCCTACATCTGGGAGAGTCCAGGCCTCACCCACCATCACTGTTATCATCCAACGACCATTTTGGAAAAGATCATCGAAAGGCTTCGGGGCCTGTTATGGCACCTGACTAGAGACTATCCAGCCAGTCGTAGGATCTAGGAGCCCCAGACTCCTTTTCTGCCTGGGGCTGCCTGGTCTTCCATCGCAGCTGCCCCTCATAGACCTTTGAAGTCTCCTCTCTGCAAACCTGCTTCCTTTGGTGCTATTAGCTACTTCCTTATCACTATGGCAACTTCAGGAAGGGAAGGTTTATCCTGGCTCTCAGCGTAAGAGTGCAGTCCATCGTGGTAACGGAAGAGATGGCAGCTGGTCACAGTACATCAGAAGTCAGGAAGAGAGAGATTACGGGCCACGCAATGGGCTGGCCTATCAAAGGACTTTAAAACAGTTCTCAGACAAGGCAGCTGAGCTAGGCATGGTGGCTCAAACCTATGAGTCCACTCATGAGCTGGAAACAGGAAGATGAGGTCTTCAAGCTACATAGTGACTTTGAGGCCACACCTGGCTACAGGAGACCTTGTCTCAAAAACTAAAGACATCAATAAACCAAAGAAAGCTGGAGTGAGGTCGGTCAGTACCACCCTGGGCTGAGGGTTTTCTATCTGCTGGACAGAACTCACTGCATAGGAAATGAGTCAGAGCTGAGGAGGGGGTGGATTTCCTGGAGAAGAGAAACGGAAAACCAGGAAAAGGAGATCCCACTGTAATCCCTCCCCTGCCCCCGCCACTGCCCCATCCCTTCTGGCCACGTCAGGCTTGTGAGGTGGGGTCTATTTCTGCATCTTTCTACAATATGAGGGATGGCTCAGGACACCCCTCAGAAGGGCCCCAGCTGCCTCTGAAGTGGAGTGCGGGAAAGGACTCCGTAGACAGGATAGTCTGCCTGTGATCTGTCCCCCAGGGACCGAATGGGATCTTCCAGCAGCCTTTGTAAACAGGCAGATGCTAGGGGATCAAAGAGAACACCCTCCCACCCTTTCTGCCTTGCTCAGTCCCCAGACCACAGAAGACCCAAAGCTCTCACTAACACATCAGCCAAACCCACATCCCATTGGCTAGAGACCCTTCTCCTGACTCTGCAGGCTCAGATGGTGGTGGGTCCTGGAAAGTCTCCTGCAGGAAGGACCTCGGTGGGGGTAAGTACCACCCAGGGAGCAAGCGAGGCACTCAGTAGAGACTGGATGCCTGGCTGCAAGGATGCAGCCCCAGGCATTAGGCTCCTTAGAGATCTGTTAAAAATCCCTCTCCCAAGATCATAAAAGCAACATGTTCTTATTTAAAACCAGAAAATAGCAAATACATAAGAAAAAGTGAAGACCCTCCCCCTCAGGCATGGCTGATGTCCCACCCCCATACCTCAGCACGCACACACCTACAGAGTTGATATTACAGCCAGAACCAGCCTCCTCCCTGCTCATGAACATAATACAGGCTTTGCAGCTTGCTTTCACGAAAACAGAGTCCTTCTCTGACACGTTATCCTGAAAAGAGCTGTGTTTTTCACTTACCTCATGCGTGGCCCTGTACCTTCCTGGATTTAAAGTCTAGTTCATTCTTTAAATAGCTGCACGGTGCGTTCGGTCCTTCCTGCTTGGTATGCTGGGGCATCACTATTTGAAAAGGTGTCTAGCAAGTGTCTGCTGCGTGTAGATCACTGGCTGCTCTTCCAGAGGACCCAAGATCAATTCCAAGTAGCAACACCCTGTCTTGCAACAGTGGCTCTGATGCCCTCTTCTGGCCTCTGGGAGTACATACATACACTCAGGTGCACAGACACACACAGGCAAAACACTCACACTCATACACATACACATAAAAAAAAAAAGCCAGATGTAGTGGTGCAACCCTTTCATCCCAGCCCTCAGGAAGCATTGGTAGGCAGATCTCTGGAGTCTGAAGCCAGCCCTGATTACATAGTGAGTTCCAGGCTACCCAGGGTTACATACTGAGGCCCCACCTCACTAAACAAACAAACAAACAAACAAATTAATAACTTTCTTTTAAAAGAGTTCAAGTCCAGCTTCTGCTACCTAGCAATCTTGAGTCCGTCATATCTCACATGAAAGGATGTTTCATTAATTAAGAAACAGATGGGGTGGAAAAGGAGAGGAGAAATGGAAATGGCTAGAGAAATTATGATAAATGTGGATGGTAATTATTATGGGTAAAAAAAGACCAAGAAAT